GTCTGTGCATCAGTGTTGTGGTGGCGGGGGGAGGGGGGGAGCCACAGCGCTCTTGCAGGAGGGGGGGACATGGGGTCCATGGGGCCCTCAAAGAGAGACCTGGCCTGGACTCGGCTGCTGCAGGCTTCTGTCAGGGACAGAACGCTACATTTTTATTTGGGTCTTAGACTCACATAATCTAACCATAAAGAGCAAAGAAAATGAGACAAATGTAGTCAGTTAATAGAGTGACTGCAGCTAAGTTTAAAACACACATAGCACCCGTTAAAAAAAAAAGTTACCAATTTATACTTTCTAAAGCAAAAGATTTCATTTCCTTGAACCAGGAACTCCTAACTTCAGTGGGTGAAAAGGGGAAAAACTTACTGACTCGCTGATGATAAAGGTGAGCCAGCCCAGTAAGGGAGGCGCCCAAAGGTCTGCCCTCTGGGAGGCACGCTGCGCTCGCCTTGGGCTCGCCATCCCAGGACACGCCTTCAACACGCCACAACTCAGGTGGTCCTCTTACACTCCAAGACGGTTTTTATTTACTGACATGAACACTGAGACTCAGAGGGGGTAAGTAACTTTCGAGGCCACATTGTTAAAAAGTAGATGAGGCTGTCCCTGTCCTGCCCCGCCCCCCGCCGTGCCCAAGGAAGCGCACGCTGTGGCGCCTGCGCTGGGGACACTTGACGTTCAGTACTGCGTGCACCAAAGGTGGCAGCAGCTCCATTTACAGATGAGCAGGCTGCAGCTGAAGAGGTTCCATAACTTGCCCAGGTCACAGGGCTTGCTTCACATGCCACCACACTGGTGACTCGCCCGCATAGTCCTGAGGGTACAGGAGCCAAAAGGCAGGTGCCCCACAGAAAACAGAGAAGGCCAAGAGCACGACTTACTCTGCAACAGCTCACTGGTCAGGTTCAAGGTTTCCTTCGGTGACACACTTGCTGTGGCGCCAGTGCCTGATTTTTGCGTTTTTACTCGACTCTTCTTACCCATTTTCTGACTACAGAGAAGAGGAAGAAAGGACAAAGGGAAAACGTTACATTTCCAAAGAACAAAATCAAGTAATAAAAGGCAGCGCCGCAGTGGCTTAGCCTTAAGATGCTAAGATCTTACCTCACAGGTGCTATATCCTGAAGTTTCCTTCCAGAAAAAAAAGAAGTGTAACAAATATTAGCATTTGGAGGCTCTAAAATGAAAAAAAAATCTGCTTTGTAGTCTCTGGAAGAAACTTTGTTTCTTTTCACCTACAAAAACTATAATAAAAGCAAATTTTACTCTAGAACATTTTTTCAAATTACACATTTTATTGTATATACTAAAATGTTTTTCATGATACTACAGAGGTAAAAGTTATGTATACATACACGTATCGAAAACTATCATCTGGCCACAGAAACTGATACACCTGTATTCTCTCAGTGCTTTGCTTTAAAACAATCATTTCTCTAGACATTTAAGAGCTCAAAGAGCTCAAACTTCAGAGAGAGGTCATCTAACGCCTTCATTTTGTTCCATGGAAAAGTCACAGTGCCTCGCCCAGCGTTTCACAGGAAGTCAAGGCAGAGCACAGGCTGGAATGAGGTCTCCCGGTACCTCCCAATCTGGTACTTCGACCACCCGCAAGTCCTGCATGGTCTAACACAGAAGAAACAACCACAACATTCCACAAGTAGATGAGATACTGGGACAGGATGCACCCATGGCTCTTCTCTGCATCTCAGGCCCTCCCCTTACCTACCGAGGGCACCTCTGTGGAGGACCACTGAATCTGACCTGGAAATAACTAAAACCACCCGTAAGTCTGGAAAGAAGGGCTCTGATCACACTGCCAAGTGCATGCAGCCTGGCAGGAAGAACCAAGAAACCCGCCTCTGGTGACGGGCTCGCCTGGCCTCTGCCTTCGGGCCTGTTGGCCAGGCCTTCTGTGACAGGTGCCAAATGGCTCTGACGAGCCCCTCCAAAACCCTTCTCTCCTCTCAGCAGCCCGGTTTCTGGTCTGTCAGAAAGCAACAAAGCAGGATTAAGTCTGTTCCATAGAAAAGGAAGTGCGACGGCCCACACGTGGCTGGAAGCTCTGTGGGCACCACGACCAGGGGCACAGGCATATTTCTGTGTGGTGCTCTGCGCTGGTCAGACTCGGTCCCGCCGCCACCTGCCTGCGTCCCTGCCACACCCACAGAGGCCTGCGGTGACAACAGCTGCATCAGGGGGCTTAGCTGTGACTTGGCCAAGAGCCCAAAGCCACCAAGCAACAGACCCACGGCTTCCAGCCTGAAACCCTGTATTGTGTCCAGCACACAGGCGCGCTCTAAGCCCAGGTGCACTCGCTGAAACAAGCTCTCTGGTCCACACGCCTGGGACCATGCTAGCGGCTGCAGGAGACACGCAGGAGCCAAGCAAAGGAGGAAAGGCAGGCCCGGCCTCAGAGATGAGGAGGTCGGGGAGCAAGGCTCCGCGTGGAGAACCCCTCCAGCACAGAAGGAAAGAAACTACACAGGGAGGGGCAAGAAGGATGACTAAAATTTAAGATTCAGTTTGAGAAGGTGTGAGAATGGTAAGAACGGTTTCCTAAATTCAACCTCCTTCCGCCTTTTTTAGCTAACAAATATTTTCCCAAACTCATGGATTTGAATTGAAATAACTACCTACCCTTTTCATTTATGATTCAAAAACCTGTTACACACAATGAGTAATTTTCAGTGTGATGTCAGCTGTACCTGGGGCTAGATTCCAAGTTTCAACAAATGACACAGGCGAGTAGACATCCTCTCCATCCTTAGTGCTCTCAGCAGGAAAAGCTGCCTGCCAGCAATTGATCAAGTGCCTACAGAGACCAGGTATTCATCTTCAATATTTATTTCAAATATGTATATTAGAAAAACATAAAGATGTACTAAGTTAAATAATGTGTATACAGACACACACTCACTCAAGTGACATTTCAAATATTAGCCAGAAGGTACAATGCTAAATAAAAGTTGTTCTCTCAAAGTTTAGGCTGAAATCAGGTATAATTTACAAATTTTTATTGAATTATCTGGAGCGAAAAAACAGAATTTATATAACACTTAAGACAAAAGAAAATATGTAGAAAAGCAACAGAGGATTGACAGACAAACGGATTCTACGAACAATCGTAGTTACAGTTGTTCAAAGGGGCGTCTGCTAGAAGGAACGGTGAGCCAGGAGTTTCACACAGCTACTTTTCTTCATCATCAAGATAGTTTTAAAATCTACAGAATCCTCAAAATGTGGATCTTTAAAACACCATAAACTATTCAGCAAATCCACCAACAATTTCTCTACCTAGTAGAAAAAATGGGCTTTAGAAGACAGTAAAACAAATGCATACTCAATTGCTTAAATTGCTGATTAATATGCAAGTGGCATTTGTAATCAACAACCATTTCTGACCAATCCAGTCACTCTTTTACAGAGCATCTCTGCAGTGGGACCCACAGGTCAGGAGAAATAAGATTAAGTGCATGTAGGGATCTTGGCTGATGGCAGGGTGGCGGAGAGAGAGGGTGCTGGATGGATGTTCAACCCATTTTTACAAAGTATAGTTCACACATACTGAACAGACTGAGTTGGAATTCAGCTGCATGAGTTGTTTTCTTTTCCCCAAAAAAACTCTAAATGGAAAGGATGTATATTTGTATTTTTCTTCAGTTGCTTTCAACTAACTACAACTAGAATAAACATTTTTTATTACACTTATTTGGCAATTTATCCGGGAAACCTTAGCTCAAACGCAGCATCTGGTTTTCAATGAATCCAACTTTACAGCTGGATTGACTGAAGGCAAGAATGGCCATGGCTTCCTCCTTCCTACCTCAGGAGCCCAGCTGGAAAGCCCACTTGGAGGGAGTGCGAGAGGCTGCCTAATCTCTGTGTAGGAAGAAAAGAATCTCACCAAAATACTTTGCAGGCCATTGGGATCGGATTACTGCGTTCTGAATTAAAACACAAATTACAGGATGATGGCTTAGGAAAATGAAAGCAGTCCCGAACTGAAGAGTATTTAACTGTGCGATGTCTCCTGCAGGAACTGGAAAGGCACAGTCTGCGGTGCACAGGACCATGTCAACCGAAGCTACAGTGTGCATCAGAGACGTGCTCTCTCTCTCTGCAAACGCGCAGGCCCTAGCAGTAGGGTCAAGCCATACTAACTTACACCACCTTACGCAGCTAACCAGCACCCATCACTCTGATCTCTATCAAAGGAGGTCCTGACGTGTCACAACTCTAAAGTACCAAGAAGTCAAGGCCAGCATGCAGGCAGGAAGGTGGAATTAACTTCAACTCAGGAGCTACTTAAGTGTGAGAATGAACGTGGACCTATAAATGGCATGTAAGTAAAACTTCAGTCTTTACACAACAATTTGGGCGGTCATACAGATAGGTATAGATGTACACATACACAAACTTGAGGTTTTAAAAAAAACACAGATGTTTCTTGCTTTCTACAATATTTTTTGCTATTTTCCCCACTAACTTACACCATAATTTTAGAGGTGCTTAAACTATTTCTGATTGACTTTTCAAGACATAATAGTTTTAGTTTTAAACTGCTGTTGAATTAAGTTGCAAATACACTTAAATTAAAATGAGGCTCCTATTTAAAGGGAGTTGCAAAAAAAACCTTTCATAAAGCAAAGAATAATTTGGTATCATGAATAATCATTTCCTATTATATCTTTCTAACAGAATAAAGAAATGATAAGTGTGAAGAAACAGCTGTAATCTGTCAAATTACCTTGAAGGTAATTCACAGTCCTCCCATAAAGGATTCTAGGTTGTAGAATTGCGCAATTTCGGGTTTGGAAGGGACCTGTGGGGTTACATGTTTAAAGTAACGACATCTAATGCTATGGAGCAGTCATGGCTGTTAACGTGCTTTGTGATCCACTACAGACTCCAGTCTGAAAACTGTGCGGGAGGCAGGGCGGAGCGTGTCATCCCGGTACCAACGTCACCGCCTGAGGCTCGCTGCTGCCAAGTGGCAGAGGCGGGAACAGGCCGAAGTTCTGAGGGTGCCCCCTCTGCTTCCCAACACACCGCACTGCTGGCCCCCAGCTGCTGCTCCTTCACTTCCGGTCAGAGCCCCAACTGTCTGAAAGTTCGTCACCCACCGTGACCTGCCTCAAGTCTGCCTTTAAAAGAAAAGACAACCCTTCAAATTTTTGACAACAGTGTCCCACAAAGTCTTCTCTTCTCCAGACCTAACATGCGCCTCATAAGGTACTCTCAAAAGTGGGCCAAACCACTTAAGGATATCACACTTCCGAGAACTTTTTTTTCTAAGTCCACAAAACCCTTCAGACACACTCTGAGATGGGCCCAGCTCAGTGGGACCACTGCCTTCCTGGAACTCAGTTCAAGGAGGTTTTACTAATATACCTAAGACTGCACTTGCTTTTCTACAAGCCAAGTGAACAAGTGATGGCATTCACTCATTCAGTGCACACTGGTCCCCTAGCCTTCAGGATAAGATGGTAGGTAGTCAACAGAAGCCTTCCATTACCTACACTGCCCTTCAGCAAGATAGATGTGCTGGAGTAAACGGAGGGTTTGACCCGAAGCACAATTATTCCTGCTAGCCATCATGCTGTTTGCTTCTAGGCTACCGAAACTGTCATCCCTGCCACATAGTGTCCTATGGCAGGTCCCCAACATGATTGTCTTCATCATAATGGCATCATTTGGGAATTCACTATATCAGGAACTAAAGTAAGCATTTTACACAAGAGATAAACGGATATCATTGATGCCCATTTTACAGATGAGAAAGCTGAAGTTTAGAGAGGTTAATGAATTTTATGCAAGATGATAGACTGTTGGAGGCAGAGCCTCCCCAGCACACCTTGATGGCAAACTTGACTGATACTCAGTAGTATCTCATGGACTCAGCAGCTCAAAACCAACCCACGGATGAAGGCTCTGAAGGTCTGTTGTCATCTCTGAAGCTCAAAACAACAGTATTCCCTTACATAATACAACATACGACATGGAGATTTTATCTCTTTGGTCTTTAAAAGCACAGAGCCATTTTGCTGGCCTTGTCCAAATACACAGGAGTGGCCTCCACTTAAATGTGGGACATGATCAAAACTTTCACATGAGCTTCCACCCAATCCCACACACCCCACATCCATCTTTGAAATACCACACTCTTGTCCTGGATAGTAAAACTGCAGAAGCCACTTAGGTGCCAAGACCTGTAGCAATACTAAAGCATTACAATCAACAAATGAAAAACTTATTAGTCATTAGTAAATGTATGGTAAAAGCAACTTTAGTGAGTATATTTCAACACTAAACCTGACTTTCTCTTAACTGTGCTTACTAGAAAACTACTAATATTGAAGTCATGCCTCACTGAGACTGAAACCTTCAAACCACCTACACATAGAATTTTTTAGACCTTGTTATGTTCTAATGAATTGTATCCTAAAAAAGTGAAAAGTGAAATGCAGGATCATAGACAGGTAATAAGCCCAAAATACTGCATATTTATTAAGCGTTTTATATAAACACCTAATTATCTACATACTCTAGACCAGCGGTCGGCAAACTGCGGCTTGCGAGCCACATGCAGCTCTTTGGGTACGTTCCGTCTCAAAAGTTTGCTGACCCCTGGAAGAGCCAATCCTGTCCCTCACAACAATTTAAAAATTATTGGAGAGCCATAAATATTTTACATAATCACCATTATGTGAATATCCTTTAAAAAATTTTTAAATGAAACTATGATAGTTTTATTTTCATTTTCAATTTTACTTCAGAACCTGCAGTTCTCCTGCCGCAGTTTGCTGACTGCTGTTCTAGACAATTCCTTAATCCTTCTAAAAAGCAGTGACAGCATTTCTTCCTGCTCTGTCCCCCTGTACCCCCATGACTGAGCCTGGGCATGTAAAAGATTAAAATTCTACTTTGGCTTGGTAAACAGTATCACTCAGATCCTTTCAAAATCTTCACTTCAGAGTCGGTCTTGTCTTCCCATTGTCAGCCAAGAGTGGTTGGACTTATCTTGATTATCAATTCACTTCAACTTGTAAAGTACTTGCGTAAGAAAGAATTTCAAAGTTTTAACTTTAGTATATGAATTTTATAATCATTTGGAATCATGTCTCTTCAAAACTTATTTCAGTTGAAAATTGTCAATGCCTGTGTTTGCACCTCGTCTTGCGATTTGTTTATTTCCAAAACCTAGAGGAAACACTCCACCTGAAAATGGAGTCTACACAGCTAATCTCTGGCTTGAGTTGCTAGGTGAATTAAACAAAAAAAAGCAGGACTTCTAACTTTCCAATTGTACTAAGTAAGCTTTTTAAGATGACTGACTTAAAAACAAAACAAGTTTCAACTCCTTTATAATAGAAAAATATATTATGCATATTAAGTGTGTTAAAAAGTTATTTCTACTTTATGTAAATTTACATTATGTAAATTAATTATATCTGCAGGACAAAACACTTGACATCTCCAATTTTATGAATAGGAAAATGAGATAATAAAAGGAAATCCAATATACAGAAGTCAATTTTGCAAAGAAAGGTACACCTGTAAATGCAACAAAAGTGAAAACTAGAAAAAGTTAAAAGTGGACCAGACGAGTGGAGCATTGGTTAGGAGTTGGCTTGGGATGCCAGCTCTGAGCAGCAGGGCCCTGGTTCGGATCCCACATGAGGGCCAGTGACGCTGCACCCTCTACAGCTAAAATGCTGAACAACAGCTCAACCTGGAGCTGGGCTGCCGTGAGTCACGGGCAACGGCGTAGGCTGCAGTGGCGCTGGCCAGCAGCGGGCATGAGCTTCCGTGAGCTGCCGTCCAATGGCCGGCAAGCGACTGCCTCACCCAGGAAGCGCACAATGATAATACCAACATGGGCCAGTGAAGCAACGTCCTCCACAACTAGACTGAAGAATAAAAGGACAGCAACTTGTCTGTTCCCCTTCTCCAATTCCCCAATGCTGTTCTCCTCCCCCAAATCCCCAATAAAATCTAACAAAAACAAAAAAAATTAAAAAAAAAAAAGAAAGAAAAATTTAAAAGCAAGGAATCCTTAGTCCTCTTAACTGGCTAAATATGACTCAAAATGAGCAGATATCCAAGATAACACTGCTATGACTATAGCAAGAGAAAAAGGATGCACAGCAAATCAAAATATTGCTCGATTAGAATGCTAACTAATTGAGAAACTAACTGGCTGCAAGCAACTTCCAAAATAACATAAGAATAAAGATATATTCACTCTTCTGTTAAAAATGTTTAATGCCATAGTAATAAATGACTGCTATTCTGGGGGCGGGAGGTGGGGGGGTTGGAGAGGGGAAGCGGGAAGGCTGTGAGGCTGCAAAAATCCAGGCCTCATTCCCAGGATTTAGGTCCAAGGAGCGGAAACATACTTGAAACTCCCCATCCCCCAACAGAAGCACCATACACAGTAGCCAGGGACAAACCAGTTTCTAAAGATAAAAACCCTCCCAGTGAAAGATAGTCATCAAACCACACACAAAAAAGACACACTATTATTAGTTACATTTCTAAAAGCTACTTCAGATTAAGATAAGAAAAAAGGAGTGTGTGTAATTGAAACGTTTTAAGAGACTTGGAAAGCCTCAAACTAAACTGACATCTAGTTAAAAACAACGTAGAGTAACCCTGAGCTAGGAGGTAAGACTTTTACTGGTATTTTCACCAAAATTTCACGCAGCATAAACTAGGTACCTGGTTTTCATTGACTTCATTAATTAATTATCTGCTAAATATTTACTACAAGCAAGCCTCTGTTGTGCTAATGTTGATATTTTCCTCTAGCTGTCATCTCCTTTGTCCTTCTCTTCTAAGTATGAGCACATCAAGTTTTAAGGAGCCCATTGTGACCTGTTATCAGAGCTCTCAAAACAAAAACAGTTGAACTTCAGAATGGAAAAAATCTGCAGAAAGACCTTTACAGTTTTCTCCTTTTCCAGTGGCCTCTAAAGCTACAGTTTAATTATCATTTAAAACATGGCTTAGCAGTTCACCACAAGGAAGAGCTCAATAAGTGTTCCTTTCTCATTGACTACCTTACTGCACTCCTATTGACAGAACTGAACAAAAACTTTCATTTCTAAAGCACACATAGGCCTAAATGTTTTAATCCTCAACTCCAACATCATTCGTATTCCAGGAAAAAAAGCACTGAGAGATGTTAGCATGCTGGAGATGAGAAGCAGCAACCATTTTACTCGTTCAGACTGGAGTTTCATTTCAGATATTAACTTACAATTTTGAATAGAGAGAGAAAGGAGAGCAGACAGGAAGGGGTAGCAGAAGACTAAATCCAAGGTTGTTTGGGGTCCCAATAAAGAGGTTGCTCTGCAGCTGTTTGAGAATTTGGCTTTACAAACTACTTTTTTGGGCCAGAGAAAAACTCCTTAAATTGCTGGAACTTTACCAAAATATCAATCACAGCAGCCCCTGGGACTCATTTGGTAAGGCAGGACTGCAAGCACCAGAGCCTCTATAGACACGATACACCATGGTTCAGGCAAGTCTTGCCAAGTTTTAACCGTGGAGAGGAAAGCTATTATTTTGCTATATTCTTGAGGTAAATGCATTCACTTAAAATAGTAAGGAAAACCTCTCCAAGATTATTAATGGTTAGTTCAGTTTTGAAATACCCGTGGGGTCATTTTTTAAGAAGAAAAATGGAGGTGGGGGTGGGGAGAAGTATCATTCACATACGATAAAATTCACTTTTCAGTGACCAGTTCCAAGTTTTGACACAGGCGTATAGCTGTGTAGCCACCAGCACAACCAAGCTACTGTCGGGTCCGCTGCTAAAAGGTTAATTAACTCTTCCGAGGCTCTCAAAAGCAAAATTAACCTGTCAACACACTTTAAAAGTATTTTTGCTTTTGAAACATCACAGACTTCATTTGGAAAAGCAAAACAATACCCTTTAAGTGATCTTAAATGTGTCAGCACACCCCGAGGGTGAGGCCCCCCGCAGCAAGTGGCGCCCCACACTAATCCTGTCCTTTTCCCCAAGTGGCGACCGGAGAGGCAGAGCTGCGTCGCCAGGCTGGAGCCACGAGGAGAAAGAGTTTAAGGCCAGAATGACAAACTCCAAAGCACTGAATTCTTCTCCCTAGTAGGGCACGGAGCGTGTGGAAGATGGCCAGGGCGCGTGTGAAGAAAGATGACCTATTTTCAACGACTGTTTTTATAACTGGAAAGTGACGGACGCAGGGGCTAGTCCCCCGGCACCCCGGCGGGCACCTGAGATGTGGCGAGAGGAACAGAAGGCCATACACAGCCTGCCCCCAAGCAGCGGGGTGACGACGGGAAGAAGGAAGGAAGCGAGAGCGCAAGTCGGCCGCACGCTGAGCCGACCGCGAGCGCCAGGGAAAGGGGCCCGGGCCCCACCCGGTGGACGACGAGGGGCCCGGCGCTCCCTGCACCTGCCACCACCTCGGGCGGCGGGCGGAGCGGGGACCCGAGCGTTGGGCGCCAGGAGGCAACGCGGGGCAGCGGCGAGTGCGCCCCCGTCCCGGCAGGGCCGGAGGGCAAAGGCCAAGCGGCGCCCTCCGACCCCGCGGGGCCCCCATACCCAGCCCTCCCGTCCGGGCCCCAGGGCGCACATCGCTTAGCACACCCCGGGCCCGCAGCGGCCAGCGGAGCGCGGGCCGGACCTCGGCCGAAGGATGCCGGCCAGGGCTGGGGGCAACCTCGCAGCGCTCGGGAACGACGGCTCGAGTCTGCCCCGCCGGCCGCGCGCGCGCGGAGGGGCTGCCGCCGGCACTCACCTGCCCGCTTGCCCCTTCGCGCAGCCGCAGCGGCACCGCACTCCGGGCCAGACCCACCGTCTGCTTCAACCAAGCCCCAGGCGGCAGCGGCGGCGGCTGCGGCCGGACGGGAGGGGCGGGACGGCGGCCTGAGACGGCCCCGCCGCCGCGGCCCAACCCGGCTCCGCCCGCCCCCGGGCCCCGCCCCCGGGCCGCCGCCGCCCATTGGCCTCCGGCTCAGACGCATGGGCACGGCCCCGCCCCACCGCCTCTCTACCGTTCCGCTCGGGCTCCTCCCTAGCCATTGGGCCGGCGGGCTGCTAGGCCGGAGCGGCCGGCTCGGCCCCCGCCAGCTCAGGGGCTACAATTGGCGGGACCTCATGCCCGAGCGCTGATTGGAGAGAGGGCGCGCCGGGCCCCGCCTCTCACGCCCAAGTTCCGTTAGCAGGTTCGGTTGCTCCCGAATTTCCTTTGACCCGGAGGCGGGACCTATGGGAGGGTCCCTCTGGCAGGCTCCTCCTCCTGAGGGGAAGGGCCGAAAGGAGACTGGCTGGTCTTTCCTCCTTTGAGAGCTCTACTTTCTTCTGATTGGTTCACAGGAGACTCCGTCGCGTGTTTTCCGTCGCCGACGCACCGCGATGACGTATTCCCCGACATTCCACGTCCAAGATGGCCGGCGTCGCCAAGGAGAGACGTAGCTAAGGGGCTTACCTGAGGCAAGGGGTGAGTAACCCACGGAACGCGGATAGCGCCGCCCACCCCCCTCGCGAACCTGGAGGTCCGAGTAGAGTATGGCCAACTGCCTCCATCCGCTGGCGGAGTCTCTCTTTCCGGATTCCGCCTCACTCCGCTACCTCCGGTGTAGATCGAAGTTAGCGGGTGATGGCGGAGCTGCGGGACGGGCTTCGGAAGAGGGTTTGAGGCGCAGGAGCGGAGGAGGGAGGCCGGCGCGGACTCTAGAACAGGTAGCGGCTCTCGCAGAAAAGGGCGGCTAGAGTTCGGGGACTTTCTAGCGGGTGGTGAGAAGGAACAGGGGTCTTACACGCGCGCGCACATTCTGCCGCACAACCGCCACCTACCCACGTCTTCTCAGCTACTTCGCAGTGTCTCGGTCCCAACCTTGGTTATACCTGAGACTTTGGGTATTGTTCCACGTGTAGCGTGCCCCGACTTCGGAGGCCGAAGAGCCCTGTAACAGGGTGGGACTAGGAATGAGGAAAATGCACTTCCGCGATTAGATTCGTTCTTGCCGAGACATCGTTCTTACCGACCCTCTTCTGGGTTGGTTTGGTTTGTTACTAAAGGAAGTGTTCTTTAGAAAGCCGAGGCGTTAGGGTCGAAGTTCTCTGAAAGCTCTTAAACTATTACCAGCACAAAAGCATGGTCGATAACGCTTCCTAAATTTGGATCGCCAGTTAAATGGAGCTTTCGCTAAATCATCGGATTAAGCTAAAGCTCGATGGCTCCTTTGAGATACTTAGCACAGTGCCTTGCAGTTGAAGGCGCTCATTAAAGGTTTGTATGAATGGTATTGCGAGAATGAAAGCTCCGTAAGGTGACTTTTGTATCCCCAGCACTTAGAGCTAAATGAAGAATGGATGGATGATTATAGTAGTGGTATTGATAGACAGTTTGGTTGATTGTGTTCTTTGGATTCTTGCTTATTAAATAATCTGGACTATAAATGTAATTTTCCAGGATTGTGAGGTTTTTTTTTCAATTTGACTATCATGCGTGTCTAATTTTAGGGTTTTCTTTTGTCTCATTTTGATGATATTCATTTTTTTAAACATTAGTTGATTCACGCATAAAGCATGTTTAATGTTTGTTTCATTTTGAAAACGTAGTTTACACCAACAAGGAATAAAACGTTCTAATTGCTAAGGAGATCCTTAAACTTCAAATGCCATTTCTAAAAATTGCACATCATAAAGACAAAATTGATCGTTTGTTTGGCCTACAAAATGAGCTACAGTCATGCACCCCATAACGACGTTTCGGTCAAGGACGGACCGAGTGTACGAGTGGTCCCATAAGATTACAGTGGCACTGAAAAATTCCTATCGCTAGTGACATAGTAGCTGTTGTAATGTGGTAGCACAAGGCACTATGGCCTTGTGGTGATGCTGGTGTAAACCTGTGCTGCCAGTTGTATAAAAGTATAGCAAATACAATTATGTATAGTATAGTATAGTATACTTGATAATAAACAACTGTTACTGGTTTGTGTATACTTTTTATTGCTATTTTAGAGTGTACTCTTTCTACTAAAAAAAGTTTGCTGTAAAGTAGTATGCCTGATACACCAGCAACAGCCTCATACATCTCGTGTTTACCGTGTCTCTTGATTGCATCGTTTTCTCCATTGCATCCCATATTGTGATTGCATCTTTTCTCTTGTGCTTGATTTAATCTCGGTTTGTACAGTAGCATGCTGTACAGGCTTGTAGTATAGGTGCAGCAGTCTATACCATATAGCCTAGGTGTGCAGTAGGCCACGCAACCCAGCATTGTATTAGTGCGCTCTGTGATGTTTGCATAACAGCGCAATCGTCTAACGACACATTTCTCAAAGCATATTCCCATCCTTAAGTAGCGCATGACTGTAGTTCACTTCTGGAGGTTATGTTTGAAAGCATTGAGTTCACAAGTATCTAGAAGGAAGAAAAATGTTTTCTCTTTGTTTTCTCCAAAACTGGATAAGGACAAACAAATCAGGAAGAATTAAGTTCTAAGATAATTGGGGAGATTGTTAAGAACATCTAATTGGATTAAATCTCATTTGTATATTTAGGCTCAGATAAATTATATGCCAGAGAACTTGCAGATAAGGTTGTAAAATCGTCCATAGCTTTAGAGGAATCCTAAAAGCACAGTTAGTGATAGAAGACTGGAGTCTGGTCAATGTGTCAGTTTTTGCATAGCAATTAGATGGCTCCTGGATGCTAGAACTTGTTAATAATCTATTTTAGAATCTTATTGTGAGAGCAAAGAGAGAGTTTGTGAGTATTGGGGAAAGGAGAGTTTATTCCCTCAAACCAGCAGAGCTACAGTTCAAAAAAAGGCTGGGTGACACAAGCCATGTTTCCTTTTGTTATAAATGTACTATTAATAGATTGGTAGTGGATGGGGGCTGAGTTCATTTAGGTTTCCTTTGGGCACTGAACACAATCTCTCTTCCTATCCTAGCAGACACAGATAAATGTACACTGGATAATGTCTAATTAGATGGATTTATGCCCATTCAAATTACCAAACCCAAAATGTTGATTAATGAATTGATGTCAGCCTGAATGAAGAGAGGTCTTTAGAGATAGGCTCCAGGGCTCTAGTCTTGCTCTTACTCTGGTTAGCATTTTTTTTTAATTACCTACTTTATATAAGAGCTGTGCTTCTCAAATTAAATGCCTGCAAAACTGTAGTGATAGCTAGGATATTAGATGACACTCAGGATTCAAAGAGTTCTTAAAGGCTAAAATAGTAGGCCCAGATAACAAGATATAAATGTTCCAGGAATTATTAAATTTACAGAGGCCCAGTTGTCCTCCTTTGAGATGAGGAAGACCTACCTTGACAAAAATGGTTCTAGGATGTAATGTTCTGTTTATAGAAGCAAAGTAGGGTCCAGATTGAGGGAAGGCAGTCTCTTAGTTTAATGACAAATTGTGGTGTTGCTATGTACTAGCTGTGTGAATTAGGCAAATTGTTTCTTGTCTCTGTAGATCCATTTTCTCAGTGATAAATTGTGAGGATAAGAAAACATAGCCTGCAGGCATGCTGCACCTCAGTGGGCAATCAGTGGGCCTGTTGCTGAGTAGTAGTCCTCTCCCTTCCCCCGTGTACTATGCAGATCACATAAAGAGTATTTTCCATTTTGGGTGCTGATACTTGGGGGGGGGGGGGGCGGGGGGTCATGAAACACTAAAAAACCATCTTGTAGAAATGGGATGTTTGTTTGCCCTGGAGAAGAGAAGGGAATGTAAAAATTGTCTTTATATATTTGAAAGGCAATTAGTAGACAAGGGAAAGGTATTTTCAGGGAGCTAAGTGGGAGCTACAGAGAGTTGATGAAAGGTAGAGTTCATTCATTCATTCATTCTTCTGGGCCAACTATGTACCAGATCTAGGGGATGAACAGAACAGATAATAGATGGTTAGAACAGATAGAAGTCAATATAAAATTAATACAAGAACTAATGTGAACATCAGTTATTGATATTTAGCAATGCCATAGGCTGCTTTGTAACCTATTAAGATCCTATTGATGATGGTTGGTGAGTGACCCTATGGACTGTTCAGGGGGAATTTCTTTCTGTACTGTGTGAAAAAACTGAGTACTGACCTTCATTATTGTTTCCAACTTGTAAGCATCCATAATTCTAAATGTTGAAAATGCATTTACTCTTTCATTATGTAAAATGACATATCTGAAGCACATTCCTGAAAGATGTTTCTAAAATCTCTTGACAGCCAGCTGTTTGTTTATGGAGAGATTTTTATTTTGTGGCGCTCATAAATCAGTCATTTTCACAATAATTGTGAACTGCTAATTAGAAAATTAATTACTTTTTAGGGTCTTGTGAAAACATAATTAAAGAGTAATAGAGAACAGGGTTACAGAACTGAGGCAAGAACTTTTTCAGCGGAATGAATGATTCAGAGGACTGTTTCTATTCTATTTACGTACATTTATTTTCACTGCATTTCACGTATTGTTCATTTTGCCCCAGACTCGAAGGGCACCTACACTAGCTTATTAGCGTGGGGTTTGGTCAAGGACAGCAAAGTAAAGCAGGTTTGATATAGTTGTGGTTTGTCCGCTTGTGGACTGAGATCCTTTTGCATCTGTATTTCGTCCCTGCTGGGTTAACCCTAAACCTGTTCTCCACGTTGCCCCTTCCTCTCAGCAGATGCCTTGCATTCAGCTGCCCAGAGAAAGTGGAGATAATCTTTTACGATTTACTTCCCCCCCCCCTTAAATGATTTTTCAAAGATCTTCCTCAAACTTTTCCTTCCCTTCTGTCCTAGAGAGAGCTTCCTTTCTAAGGCTCACTTTTTCACTCTGCTTTTTATTACCCCTCGACCAGCCAACCCTTCAGTGGCTTCTCTACTGGCTCGCTCCTTTTTGCTATAGGCATCCTTCGTTCTCCTTTCAGCTGAAAAAACAACAATAACCTATCTCATGGCCTG